GCACTTATCTAGGAACAGAATTGAAGACTTATCTAATGCACTTATCTAGGAAACAGAATGCACTTATCTATTCTAACAGAATTAAAACTGAATGGATAAGGCTTATCCCAACTAAGAGCTAACATGACCGGGTCTTCTGCTGCTATCCACTTTGACTGGGTCTTCGGCTGCTGCATGCATGCACGTATTAGATCTCTTCTTCTCACCTCTACTTTCCTTATCCACCTTATTGACCGCAAAATCCACAATAACCTTCTCAATGTTTGGCTTCCAGGAGGCAACCGCAACCCCCCAACTTAGAAAGCTTTGTTTGCTTTATCTAGAGTGAATAAGTTCTCAGCCTCTTCTAACTCCAGGTCTGATCTTGACCGTTCAGCTCTTCTTTCTTCTTTGCTCTCCCTCTCGAACCTCCCAAATGCCTTTCTACCGGAGTCGTCTCCGCCCACAAAGCAAAGTCCCAACTCCCAACATGTTCGCCACCTTGATCTTATTTCCAATTCCAGCTTCTCTATTTTGCGAGCACGAAATGCATTCTCCTCCTCCTCTGGCTTCCCCTACTCACAAGAACTCCCAAATTCCTTTGACGTTTGCCAGGATCTGATCTCTTGTCTGCCTCCTTCGAAACTTGAAAGTTGAAACCTCCATCGGAGATATTGTCTTTGCCTTCTGATTCTCCACGGCCTTAGATCAGTCCATAGCTACCATCTTGTATCCCCTTAAAGAATCCACTGCTATCACTTCTGAACCCTCCATCAATACCCTCACTACAAAATCATATCCTTAGCTAGAACTTGGACCGAAATCGACTTCAGCAAGTTCGAAGGAGCATGAGCTCAGACTACCAACATCCCCTACTCACAAGAACTCCCAGATTCCTTTGACGTTTGCCAGGATCTGATCTCGTCTGCCTCCTTCGAAACTTGAAAGTTGAAACCTCCATCGGAGATATTGTCTTTGCCTACTGATTCTCCACAGCCTTAGATCAGTCCATAGCTACCATCTTGTATCCCCTTAAAGAATCCGTTGCTATCACTTCTGGACCCTCCATCAATACCCTCACTACAAAATCATATCCTTACCTAGAACTTGGACCGAAATCGACTTCAGCAAGTTCGAAGGAGCATGAGCTCAGACTACCAACATCCTCACTGCTTCAACTTTTTTCCATTGTAGATTTTCCTGCGCTACGTCTATAAGCCCCACAAGCTTATCCCCTAATTCTTTAAATGTCCTTCAACTCCAGGCATGTAAAGACACGCCGAAGCAGCAGACCTTCCACCTTTGGAAACCGTCCAATACTTTGCCTCTTTCCAACTCTGGGGACCATCTATGGAGGACCATATTTACATCATTACACCAGAAGGGGCTCTATCCTGCAAGCCTAATGGCCTCCACCTCTGAGTAGTGAGTCTAGCATCAATAAAAACATGCCTCCAGTAGGAAATCTAAAAAACACCCTACTCTACCCGTAGCCTGAAAGTGCTAGCCACCTCTGTAAAGTTGATTCGCACACCTTACCCTCCTGTGCCTCTCCCACAAAACACCCCCTCTCCCTCACCCCCTTCAAGTCTACACCCAGTCTCAGCCCAACCTTGGTCAAGTAGAAGACAATGAATAGTGTCTTCTTTTGAAGGGTAGTTTTTCAATAGATAACTAACAAGGCAGGAACCAATTTGACACTTTTTGAAAGTTTAGGTATATTTGAAAGTTTGGGTATTAACTTGACAATAACCCCAAAGTTTAGGGTATTAAAGTGGAATCTTCCCATTTAATAATATTTTAAATTTTATGTGCAGGATAATTGATAATTTATGTATTTTTTTAATGTTTTAATCTAATAATTCAAAATTGTGTTGTTTGTTTGTGTCATCTTACTTATTTATTGTTTATATATAACAAGAAATAATAGGAAATTATATATGGGTTCTAAATCCAACCTACCCTACCTTGGTATGTGGAGAGGGTAGGGTTGGGGAGACTTTTGCATTTTCCTGTATGAAAAGGATTTGGATTCTTAAAATTCAACCCCCTACAAGTTTTGGGGTGAATATGGATTAAGAGATTTAGGAAGACAAATAGAGTCTAGAATTTACAAAACCCTCCCCAAACCACCCGTTGCCATCCCTAATGTCAATAAATACTCCAACTCACTCAACGCATTCATCGTAATTACTTGTGCTATTTGATTTAGCAAATACTTCAGTCTAACAATCATGTACTTATTGAATTTTGTTCATTTTCATTCCTTCACCTGGAAAAAGAAGAAAAGGGTAAAGAGAATGTAGGTACCTCCGATTAAAACGCCGACTCTGGTGGTTCCTCCACAACGACCCTTCATGTATTTTGAAGGATTGCAATTGGAAGTAGCTGCTTAGAAGAAACAATAAGTGAAAAACCTGGTTAGTACTCGGGATAAAAGCAGTGATTGAATTGAACCTTGATAATTGAGGTTGTGTTAGAAGTTCAAACGTCCCTAGAAGCTACCATAGAAGATTTGATTATTATTATTATTATTATTATTATTATTATTATTATTATTATTATTATTATTATTATTATTATTATTATTATTATATAATTCAAAATTTATCTTATAATTAACATTTTGTAAATATTACTTTTACATTAATTATTTAATGTAATTATTAAATTAAAGAAATATCATCAAAAACACACAAGTGACTCAATAGTAAGTGAAACTATGGTATTTGTAACCATAAATGTTCAGGTTCAAATCTTTACATTCTCAAAATATTTTAGGGTTTTTTGTAAGACAAATTTGCTTCTAAGATTGGTTTTGTTAACGTCAATCAAAGCAAATTCTTCGAGTCAGTTTCGATAGGGCAAGCCCCTAGAACTTCAAACTAGCCTAAACAGAGGTCAGTTCTAAGAATTTGAAATCACACCCCTTTGGGTCAAAAGACTCAACAGCAAAAACTTTTTTTTTTAGGCGTACAACCGCAGTTGCCATTGACCAAATGCTTTCTCACCGTAACGACCAAATTGATGAAGTGGCTACCAGGAAAAAGAAGTTAGAGAGGATATTCCGTAATTTAGTATGTCAAATCTTCCACCAAATCATTTGAAAACACAAATATAAAATTATTTAGGATAAAATACAAAAACCTCCCCTGAAATTTCTGACAGTTATAAAACTTTCCTTATAGTTTTATTTTAACAAATAACTTCTATGAACTTTTCAGAAACTTAACAAAAGTTTCCTTTCCGCCATCGTCCTAGATGAAAAACATTAGACTGATGCATCAGTTTTTTTCAAATATATCTATTCTGTCTTTTTATAAATTATTTTACATACAAAATTATTAAAATAATCCTATTTTAACTCAACAAAAATATATGTTTCAGTAATTTTATGTGTAAAATAATTTATAAAAGTATAGAATGGGTATTTAAAATAAACCTAACGTTTTTATATTTTACCCAATCATTTAAAAGAAAAATAATTAACCTTGTCACCAGACTACAGAGTCTACGGACAAAAATCACCGTCCTCTCGGTTCTCCAATTTCCTCTTCCTTAGAAAAACTCAGCAACGTACATCATTTGGTCAAATAAATCAAATAAAGATCATGCTTTTTCTTTGTCCATGTTAATTATAGTCTACGATTACCGTCCAAATCATGGATGGTCGTCGCGATCACAATTCATTGCTTAGAATTGACTCTACTGGCACAGCATTGACGGACAATATCCATTCCCCTCCCTTCAGCTTCAATATTTGAATTTTCCACTTTTAACCTCTAGTATAAGAACAAAAATATAAACCTAACTACTAGTCTTTTGTACCCGGTTAGACAAAAAGTGGAATAAGTTGAAATGGGATTTCATTTTCAAGGGTGAGAGAAAAAATGCCATTCCCCCAAATGGGGAAGATCATTCTAATAGTAATGCCAATGGGACTCTAATCCCATACCCCGTTTATGATTTTTGAACTGTCATTGACCAATACGATTAGACCATTTGGCCCTAAATCCGTTTAAACAACTAGTTTCGTTTCATCCGTTTTTTAGCAAAAACCATTGACTTGTTCAGTGACCAGCTGATTCGGACGGACATTCAAATTGTTGATCCATTTGACTTATACAACGGTTTTTAGTCGTTTTTTATTTTAATTTTTAAAATTGAAATAATTCATCTATTCAAACCGAACAGTTGAACTATTGACCCAGAAATCGGTGGCCAAAGCGATTATTATACTAATTGTTTTTAAGTTTTTTCCTTTATTGAAAATGCTTTTATTATTTTCGTTTTTTGGGTTAAAGGAATATAAGAAGCCAGATGGTTATCTCTAAAAGGACTTAAACCAAACAACCAAGAAAAATGGCGTGGACTAGTGTACTTTTCATAACTATTGTTCCATAATAATTTGATAAATAGATTAAAAAAAAAGTCCGGCAAGGCGGCAACAGAGAATTACCTCTACGGCAACCAGAACCGGCTTGGAAACCATCTCCTTCAAATCCGTCCTTGCAATGGCAAAGACATCCAGTCCCATTGTTCCGCAGTTGGACGATCTTGTTATTCGCATTCAAAGAACAATTGCACTCCTCTAACCACCATCCGAGCTGAACCGTCTGAAACTCCAGCGAAAGCGACGAGTTCTTATTCGAATCTACGGCGACCGACGAGAATAAAAATTTGCAGTTGGCCCGTTTCAGGTCATTAAATGTCATGAAGTCCATGTCTTCTTTGGCAAAGCAGCTTAAATTTCTTTCTCTACGATCGCAATGCTGCAAGTCGAAATGATTCTCCAACAGCGTCGTCGGTATCGTGCACATGCTAACCAGCGAGCTACAGTTCTCTAACAATAACCCATTTTGCTTCGTTAGTGCGAAGGTCCCATTGAAGAGCTGCCTCAGGTCCTGGATAGGACGGTTGCATCTTGCCGGTAAGTTGATGAAGATGCTGTCTGCAGTGACGTTTTCGACTCGAAATTGGCCGATGAAAGCAACGCCTCTGATGCAATTAAGACGTATTGGACATCCATCGGAGAATCCAAACGGATAGGGAAATCGCTTCTCTCTGCCGCGGAAGCCACAAGTTTGGTTGCAGCGAGGCAAGGGTTGAGTGGCTATTAAAGGGAGAAGGCAAATCACCAAGTAGAGGACAGGATTTTGGTGGTGAAAAATCATCTTCAGTATCAGACAAATTGAATTGAAACAAACAGTAATCTGTGGAATGGTTGAATGTCAAGCAGAAGCATAGGAAATTTCATTTGTTTTGTTTCCCCTTTGGAAGCTTAAAGATCTCAACTTCAAAGAAGAGAGTCTCCTCAGAATTAGATCAGCCGAAAAGGCAAAAAGATTTGGCCTTTGGATATTAAATTAGAAGAAATTTCTCTCTTCCCCTGTATGCTGCCAGTAAAAGAAACAAAAAAACTTGATTTTCTGCCATGAATTTGGAAACATAACAATGCTGGCTGATGTTGACGAGGCGATCATATTCCTCTCAGTTGTGCGCATAGAAGAAAGTTCCATTCAGAAAGCAACTGCTGCACAAATCTCCTCTGGTCACCTTAACTCTGCTCTGCTTTTGCTTGAACGATTCAGAAAATTCTTCGAAATTTCAAGGAAATCGACAGGAGAAAACGACCTCAAACAGAGTGAAACCCTGGCGTTCTTCTTCAACCTCTCTCTATTTCTCTCTGCAACTGCAACGCGTAGATATAGGGTTCGACCAAACGAAGAAAAGACGAGAAAAGCAAAGCAGGGAGCATCCTGTTTCAAGTTTCAACACCACACCAGTCCTCCCTGCTATTCTAAAAGGAGAAGTGGAAACGTAAAATACATGCCTAGGAATTTTATTGCGGAGACCAAAATACCCTTTTCCACGGAATTTTATTACATGTGTAAGAAGCCCTCAAGCTATGAGCTGCCGAACTGGGCAGGTGATCCGAAATATTTGACTCACAAAAGTCATCGGTGGGACGGGAGTGGCCTTGGCCTTGCACATGGAGAGAATCAGAGAAGCCAAGGCCCAAGGCCCAACTCATGGGCCCACATTTTAAAGCCAACTAAGAGGCGAATCTGTTAACCAACTGATGGTGGGTCAGTTGGTGAGTTCTCTGTTAAGCTGTGCTTTTCCTTCTCTTGGGATGCTTAATTCCAATTTCCTTGGCGATATTCCAATTCCATGTATTGATTACGAGACTTTGGATGCTTAGACACTATGGAGTATCCATGATGCCTTGAAAACAATCTATTACAAGCTTTGAGTTATACCCCCCTGGCCCCATTCCACACTTGCAAATTGTAATGATGCCGATGCTTCTCTTACATTCATTCATTATCACTTCTTTTTTTTTTTCTTTTTTTACACCCAATCGGTGCCTTGTCACATGTCACAAGTTCTAACCAAGGTTTTTGAACTATCGTGCGGTTATACCATCGGCCTGGAAAATCGTTTCGTTTCATCCCTGAATTGTTCTTTTATCAAAAACCGTTGATAGACTTCGTTTGGCATGTCTTTTAGTGCAGGCTGTAGTCTCCTAAATACTGCACCTTAAAGATATGTGAAAAGCTCAATTTGAAGTTATTTTTTTCTTTTTTTTTTCTTGTTTCTTGCATTTAGAAAGATGTACCTCCAATCAAACGGTTTGTGGGCTGTTAAAGATCTTTTTATAAAAAACCATTAGGTGTTATTTGACAAGTCTTTTTTGAAAGATCTTCTGACAAACTTAATAGTTAAAAGTCAATGTAAGCTTTTGCATCTTAGCAAAGACTGTGATTAAAATGTCTTTTCGTCATCTTTCCATGTGAAGACTTGATGAAAAGAGTTGAAAAGCTCCATTTGGAGTTTCCCAAAAATAGCCCAAAATGGTCTTTGTGCGTCTTTTCAAGGCGTAATCTTTTGGTAGTTAGATCTTTTTCCAACCAAATAGGAAAAGATCAAAACACGGGCTACTGGTCTTCTAAACAGTCGACAGTTTGCATGGAAAGATGTGTGCCAATGGGGCAGTGTCTTTTGACTGTTAGATCTTCCAAAAGATCTTTCAAAAACAATTTGCCAAACGGCACCTTAGTCAATGACTCACTAATCTGGGTGATCAAATTATCAATCTGTTCAATCCTGGACAATGAATTTTTGTCTATTTTTTTATTTTAATGATTTAATTATATTTTTATTTTTTAAATTGCATAAACCATCTATTTGGATCCAATGGTCAAACCACTTACAAGAAACCAGTGGCCAAAGCGATTCTGAGTTTGGAGTTGGTTTTTAAAACATTGGTCCTAACCATTTCATCCACCCAAGGTTCAAAGTATCATCATATATATATCAGTCCATATCGGCTAATACGTATTACATCGGAGCCTTTCCGATACACTCCTAGAGGAGGTGTTTCGGATCAATAAGTGATTTAGGGGGTAAACTGGCCCCTCTGAACCAAATTCGAAAAAAAAAAACAGTACGGATAAAGGCCGATACATGCTACCGACGTATCGCTGTGTACCGATATTTTCAACCTTGCATTCACCACAAGTTATGGTTCTATGTACCCTACATTTTGCCAAATCTAATATGATGGGATTAAGATTTTGATCATTCAACATTTGTCGACCACAGAAAAGCAATTCTTTAAAAAAAAAAAAAAAAAAAAAAAAAAAAACATCTATCTCCGTAATTAAATTTGAAGTATGTAATTTAAATCGGATTCAAGTCCAATGAAGGACAAATTAAAACAAGGAATTTACGAAAATACCGTTCAACTGAGGAATATTAGAGATGGAATTTACCTAAAACATAATGGTGGGTTCTTGAGGAATATTAATGGATTATGGACTCACACTCGCCTGCCTACCCACGCCCATTCAATTGAGGCTGCCATTAGAATTGGACCTATGACCAAACTCTGTTCATAATTCACCCTACATATTGTCTGTGTAGTGATTGAAGAATGACCCTCATCACAATTCGGTGGTTACGACTTGCAAATCGGAAAATTCGAGAACTGGTCCAGTAATTTGTTTCATTTCCAAACATCGTTGATTTGGTTAATGATTTATTGATTTAGGCGATCACTGTTGAACCACCGATTTAGATAATTATTTTTTACCATTTTTATTTATTTTTTATTTTTATGTTAGAAAACGCCATCTATTAGAACTGGATGATCGAATTATTCGACCTAGAAAACGTTTGGGAGTTGGGTGAATTGGGAATCGGTAAGATCGCACTGGACACGATAGGGAGACTAATATGAAATTATGGACGTCAGGCGGGCCGAGTTGGGGTCGCTGTTGGAAACGTTCCAGTATTTTTCTGACCGAAGTTCAATGGATTGACTTATCATGCCTAAAAAACTCCCAAAAACAGCCAAAATTTTCCTCTCTTAGGCCTGGTCCAATTCCAGATACAAAAACGACATGACTAATGGAGGTTTGCTTCTCATAGAGCGTTCTTCACGCCAACTTCGCAGAGCCGCACATTTAGAACATTTCCATATTTGTAAGTTATCATTTAACGGTGCTTTGGAAACATCTCCCCATGAGCTACAACATTGTAAGGGTGGATTCGAGTCGAGCTAAACTGAATATTTGGCTATTTGAGCTCAGTTTGCCATAAATAATGTTAGGCTCAAGCTTGATTCAAGCTAGAGAATTGAGCTTAATTCTGTCTTGACTCAAAAGCTCATATGTTCGAGCTTGTCTCAACTCGAGCTCGATTATGAGTTAAGTCTTCAATAAAAAATAAAAATTATATATATAAAAAATTAAAAAATAGGCTCAATTACGTATGTATGTATTAGGCTCACTAGCCGAGCTTCATTGAGCTCGAACTCGACTCAATTAGCAAACGGGCCTATATTTGGGCTTGAGCTCTGCTCAAAACTCAATTTAAATAAATCATTAAAAGTTCAACTCATTTCCACCCCTAGTTTGCAGCTCTACATTGTGAATATTTCCCCATAATGACAATTTACAAGTGGTAAGATGTTTCAAATGTGCAGCTCTAAATGTTGCGAGATTAGTGTGAGGAATAAATCTGGAAAATTTTCTAGTACGTGGAGGCACATTTATTTGAGTCTAGATCATCTGCCAACAAGGCACGATTCGAACCCTCTACCAACATGATCTTACATCACACATCTCATGCATGGCAGATCCCACTTTTACGATTGGTCCCGGCCTTATGATGAGATGTGTGGTGTTAGATAAAGTTGGTAGAGGGTTGGAATGTGTTTTGTGGGCAAAAGATCTCAACTCCATCTCTCTTGGGTCTAAGGATACTAATTAACATAAAGTTTAATTAAATTATTTTTAATTTCTTTTATTATTATTAATATGATACCTGATTCATATTTAATCTATTTATCTTGTCAACAAAATATAGTATTTTGGTAAATTTTAATTTAATTTATATATAATATGTAATATCCAAATTCCATTGAAATATGATCAAAATTCGACATATGAGATTCGATTTGCATCTAAATACTAGTAAGTAAAATCGAATTCAAATTTAATAAATCACCCTATTTATAGCATCAGGGAGGAGAGAGCTATTAGAAATGGCAATGGGACAGGGAAGGGCAGGGATGGGTAGGGGTGAACAAGAAAAACTAAAAAACTGAACTAAATAAAAAATTTTAGTTAACCGAACTGACCAATTTTGTTTTGGTTCAGTATTTTAGAAAAACTGAAGGTATATATATATATATGCAAGAAAACTATCTGAGTACCCAGGGTGGGCACTTCGATGCTTAAGTTAGCGATGAGTGTATTGAGAGATGGAAAGCAAGAAAGCCAGAAAGATAAATCTTACTTGTTCAAAGTGTAGTGGTTCATTGAGCCATGAGTTGATCTACACCCGTCTTCTAGAGGTCGGTATCTGAGACCGGCACCTAGGTGATGTCTTCCATAAGGCGAGCTCTTTCCTCGCTGCTCTTCGGGAGCAGTTCCAAGTCTATTTCGATGTCTTGTTTCCTTTTGACTTTTAAGACCACCATGTAACATTTGCGGGATTCAAGTTGATCTCCACACACTACTAAGCCTGTAAATGGTATTCGAAAATTTGAATTTGAATTCAAGATCCGAACTAAACAAATCTAATTCGAATATTCAAATTGAATGAACAATCCAAGTCAAATATGTTTTTTATACCGGTTAGTTAGTCGAATCGAATTCAGATATAACATGATTCAATTCGACAAATATCCCATTTGATTACAGTATTATAAATATATAAATTACATATTTATTTAACAATATTAGCATGATTCATAAATATTGATTTCTTATAAAGAAATATATTAATATATCATTTTATTAATAGTTGAAGTACAATGCATAATAACTTTCGGTAAATCCGCTCAATATAATATTATTTTAATAATAAAAAGTTGGTGAAAAGACAATGAAGACAGAAGCTATCATTACCTTTTGAAATAAAAATTGAGTTTGAGTTGATGTCTCCTTAATGTATCAGTTGTTCCATTCATGTCCATCTTGTTCCTGTAAACAATTTCTATCGAGCCGAGTAAAATAAATTCGACTTCTCAACCAGGTCCTCAGAGACAACGGGCGAAAATATGATGATTGCGCCTGAATTGAATCAACAAGATAACAGATTATTGATCGATGATTCCTCTTTGAGGTGTGTTTTTCTCTAAACGTAATGAGCAACCCAATCAATCGAATTCATTTTATGTTCTTTCATTAAATTAAGTTTGAGTTGAGTAGTTAAACTTAACATATTACAGTCAATCAAATTCGGATATTCGACTTATTCGATGAACTC